CCTATTGGCACCAAACATCACCTGCCACGGAACCCATGCAGCTTTGGAGATGCTCACGGGGTCGCATACCGCCAACTTCCCGCACAATGCATCCGCCGTTTCCAAAAACAACGGTTCCTGCAGGATCGGGAGAACCGAAACGGGAGTGATGATCACAGGGGCGTGTGTAGCATGCAAGTTTCACCAGAACAATTTTGCACTGTCATTCTCTTCATTTCCAATTTGGTCTACTTCGCCCGGCCAGGGGGGATGTATGAACTTCCGCGACCAGCAGGGGTTTTATGTCGCAAAATAAACCAATGCAGCTTTCCAAAAGCAATCGCCACTGCCCACGAGCCACCAGGTTTTCCCTTCCATGATTGCATACTGTACTGCGTGTTGTTATGCAAGGGCACAGGTGGGCATCTCAAGATGGGCGGCTTTGATGATTTTTCGGCTCATGTTTCCGCGTATTTTCAAGCCCTTCAAAAGCACAAGCTTTTCAAGTGGCGCCCTTTACAGTGGAATTGTGCTTTTTCCCCACTGTCAGGTGGGGCTTTTAGATTTCATGTTAGCTGCCTTCCTCCATCCTCCTTCTCCGCCTCGTCCTCAACCGCAAGTGCAGGATGGCAGCATTCCCCGCAGATGGCAGCGTTCCCCGCCACACCTCAACCGCGAGTTCCGGCTGGCAGTGTTCCCGGCCGGACCTCAACTGCAAGTTCCGCTTGGCAGTGCTCCCCACCGGACCCCAACCGCACGTGCCAAATCACAGTGTGCCCTATGACCTCAACACACAACACACAACCACACAACACGACCACAAACAAAATACAAACACACAATGCACAATACACAACCACAGCCACAAACAAACAAACCACAAGCACAATCACAAACGAACAGCCACAAACAAACAACCACAAAACACACAATCACAAACACAATCAGAAACACACATGCACAAACACACAGCCGACCGGAGACCCTGGCGACACCCCGATGCGAACTCCTTAACATTAAACTCACAATCCCAAACCCGAGGACCCACAAGCAAAATCCAAAACCTCAAAGCCCACGACGATGGCAACATGCTCCTCACCATGCATGAAAACAAATAATTGAATTGTCATGGTGGGGATCACTCGAAGTACAGTAAGGCATGTTGATTCCGGAAATTTCCGCTTTTTCCTGTGCCTTTCCGCCCGGGCCTTTTTCTCGGGCAATTGTCCGTCCCAGATTTTAGTTTGTGCCTTTTACATTTTAGTCCGTGTGCGTTCATACCTACCGCAGGCAAGGGTTTCAAGGCAAAGAAACACAAACACACACACGACAGTAGCCATGTGGAAACTTATAATATATGTATATCGGTATAGATATGTCTCACCATGTTTCTCATTGCGGTGACCAGAGGCATTGTCATGCATGCTCCAAACGGAAGTAGGAAAGGTGGTTGACGGAGAGCCGAAAGCATGGACAAGTCACCAGCAGCTCAAAGCCTTTTTCCTGCTGCAACTTGCGGATGATTTCCCTATCGCTTCTGAACAACTTTCCAAACGTAGGTGCTCATGAGTTCTCGTGTTTGCACCCACATGTCATCCCCAAGGTGCATACTCGTGGTGAGCTGCATGGATTTTGGTGCGCATGGACTTCATGACTTTTTGGTGTGCAGTGTGCGACCCTTTCAGCACAAATTGATTGACAAAATGTCCAGCATCTATCCATATGTTGACATTTCACACTTCACTTCCAAATTAAAGATTTGCCATTTTGGCTTTCCTCGTTGGACGAGACCTGACAACTGCTCGCACAAGAGACACTGTGACACCGACCCGCTCTCTCACCCGAAATGTCACACTTGTCGAAGGTGGCTTCATCTCTTTCGGCATCAGCCCATTTCACAAAGTCCCAAAGACTGCTCCATAACTTCGCGGCCAACCCCAACGAGATGATGGCACTGTGCGCACTTCTGGCCCACAAAAATAACCTTGAACAAGTAGATGTAAGCCATGCGTGCGAACCCTTTGCTGACAAGCTGGTGCATCGATATTTTGGCTCGGCTTCGAACGCATCTTCAATGGAGCCAGCTGCCCTAGCGTCCCTTCGTGGCACCTTTGGCAAGTCTTGCTTGCCCAATTTGGCAACAGCTTGTCTTTCACCAAAAGATCCAAATAATGTTCTTGTCCGAAGCCTTGAGTATAGTTCTGGCACAGTGTGCAGCCACTTGCTGGCAAGCAAGCTGTTACAGAAAGAAACTCCGTATTACATTTGCATGCACATGCCAGACTCCCACATGAACCTACCTATATAGAATGAAAACACACCAAGCAGCAGGTAAGCGGAAGTGCTCGTACTCATGCATACTGTCCTCAGACCTCCATCCACTCTAAGTTCTAAATCCTTGATTCTTTGCTGTTCTGTCTCTGCTCACCTCTTTCTATGCCGATATTACATGGAATATATATATATATATATGTGTAAATAAATATATATATATATATTTAAATTTAGATTGCATCTCCAACCATCAGCCTCAATATCAAACACCCCAAACCGGCCCGAAAACACCGCAATTACATGCAATTACAATTGTTCTTGTTAAACGTAAACTTTCTTGGGGTACCATATATATATAACTCATTCAGTTATCTAATGAAATTATATGTACATATGATATCCATCCAATTCCATAAATTCCGCTTCGAGCTTCCAAACTCAAACACCACCCTCCACCTCACCAAGAGATCCATCACGACCCACCCCTGCTGGCACCGGCGCACCAATCCAGGTGCGGCACCCCGCCTGCTTGGCCTCCAAGGTGGCTAAAGACCAGACGACGTTGGCAGCATCTCGTGCCGTGAGGTCCTGCAAAGACGCCTGGAGCCGCTGAAGACTCCTGAGGATCTTCATCATGTGATCCATCACCAACACCAAAAAAACACTGGTGGAAGTCCAATTGGAACTAACAGTTGATGTGACATGAATTGAGTCAGGTTGATTTGGGACCCACAGCGGCGCAAAATGATGTCCTGGACCATCGGGAATCGGATCGCAAAGATGCAGCTAAATGATGTCCTCCCTTCTTCTTCCAGTGAGCCAATGCATACCTCATCGACGCCCCCGAGTGCGAAGGCAGGTTCGGTAGGATGGCAAGCCTTGGGGGACCAACCCAACGACGATGTGAGACTCAACAGGTTGACCCTGTTGCTCTTGTGACTAGGAGACCTGTCGGCTCGGCTCCAATCCTCACGGTGAACCAGGTTTCTGCCACCTCGTCGTCGGAATCCACCCCTGACCTGGCCCTACTTTAGAGAGTGAGGGGACGATCTATGCACATAATGAACCATATATGTTGATTGTCATATATCTATGTCCCCGTTTCGGAAATCGGTCGAAAGCACAAGAGGTTCGCCCAATTCGGCGCATCCATCACTTCGGCTTTGGCCATCGCCAGGTCCAAGGCATCGCTCGGGCTGCCGGCGCCGGAGAGATCTTTGTCCAGCGCGTAGCACTCGTTGCTTCGGGGGGGGCCTTTTGGGCATGACGAAGACGTTCCTGACCAACGGAGACGTGTTTGACTCGCAGACCAATTGGACTCCGCAAGAGTTCAGCTGAGCTTGCTCATGTTCCAAAATGTGTTCTTTTTCTTCAATTGTGGTCCATTGAGGAGTGGGGCTGGGTCCTAGCGGCTAAATTTTTGTCTCAATATGTCTCAATATGTTTCAGCTTAAATGCACCCAGTGCCGAAACGGCATGCCCTTAAACCTTGGGCAATCCGGGGGGCTTGCTCTGGCTTTTCTACATGATCCCACTAAAACCATCAAGCAACCTAATTACAGTGAACATGATAGAAGTTGACAAACGGAAAAAAACAAACAACATCTGTGAAAAATCCATCAAATCTGTTTGGCGCCAAGTGTCTGCCCGGCAGCGACCTGTTCAGACAACTCCCTCTCGCGCTCTTTGTCGCGAAACATGTTGCTGGCATCCCGCCGCTCTGGACGGCGGCTGGGAGGGCTGAACTTGGCCTCGGCGCAACAGGGCGCAGCAGGGTTGAACACCCGCCTTCAACGCTCAAGTGCGAACGCACTAATTAATGTTGTGTGTGTGTGTCTTATTATGGGTTTTCCTCCAACCAAATCCAAGGTATGATATGTCTTGCTCTTTGCTCTGGCTAAACGCTTGCATCCATCTGTCCAACTAAGTGGGACAATATTAAGTATACACACAGCTACGAGTAACAATCGAGGACATCACAACCAAACCTAAAAACCTATAGGCTATAGGACACCCCCATGCAATGGTTCAACGTACAAGTCACTCTTTACTCAAAGCCCAGTCACCAAGGATGGTCCCTTTCCATAGAAGGACAGGCCCTGAGTTGCCGAGCTTTCAGCCACCGAATCTGGCGCTGAAAGCACCGACTCGGGCCGCACACTGGCGACGCCATCGCCGAAAGAGCTTAGCTCCTCAGGGCTGTACCACTGACTACTGCGCAGGCGCTCCGTGCTGCGCAGGCCACGCCCATTCCGAGCCCCATCGTTGAAAGAGGCATAAGCAGACTTGAGCATTAGAGACTTGCTGCAGGGGAAAAGGTTGCAACATGTTGCAAATTCAGGTGGGCACATACATCTCGTTGGCCTGAAGCAAGGACTACTGTGCTTGGCCACTAGCAGTGGCACGAGTACTGGGGCCAACCATTCCAATGAATGTGTCATCTTTATGTTTGAGCATGTGGCCCGGGAAGGCTGAGGAACATTGCGTTTGATTGTCAATGCAGGTTCATGCACCTTCATTGGGCCCATGTCTGCTGTTTGGTGCTACCAGTATGGTCATCCAGTGTCCATTGAATGGTCACAAAAAACGAAGCAAAACAGCTCCTTTCCAGCTGGTTCAAAAAACACCATCATTATAACACCATCACACCCACAGAAAGCCCAAAGAAAGTGAAAATCCTAATTTTCATGTAAAAATATGTGCCAATCACGCTAATAAACTGATTCCACTTGATTCCAAAGCTTGGCCTCTTGGAACTTCGGTGGGTTCAAGAAGTGCAGTAGCCAGTCAGAGGGCACGTCCTGGATCGAGTGAGGCCGGTGGTAAAGACCAGTGAGGTCGGTGGCAACAATTCCCGGCAGGTTGCACCTGGAGGACTTCTGTCAGACGAGAATAAGGACAAATGCATGGAGTGAGTGGGAAGCATGGACAAGTACGACGTAATAAATTGCAATATATACACTATCGCGGAGGCTGTGGTGCAAACGTGCAATGTCAATGGTGGCCGTGTGTGTGTGTGTGTCACCCCCCGTACCTAGGGACACTACTCGTCTCTACTTCCCACCACACCTCTGCACAGTATCATGCAGGGGTCGACAGGGTCGCCGCATGGCTGTCGCCAACGAAGCTCCATGCAGTTGACTAAGATATCACGGCTGATCACCGTGACGTACCTGCTCTAATTTTTACCGGCTCTTCACGTTTCACCACTGTTGAAACAATACTGTTCTTGCGGACTCACTCACCTTTCGGTTCGCCAAGTCAGGGTCTAAATTGTGGTAAGAGTAAAGGTTTAATGATCACCGCGAAACACTGAAGCTTAGCTCCAAGGAGCACTCATCTTGAGTGTGTGCAATCACTTCATACTGTCAGCCCCGTTGCATTCAGAAAAACGCAGCTTTGCGGCACAAGACGTCAAACTGTGGGATGACCGTGCTGACCCCACCCGGCCGGAAAACCCAAACGAGCCTTCTCGGGCAAAGGCCGAGAATAGTCCACGGGGTCATGCTTGATCTTTCGGCAGTCCGACTGCCCTCAGCTCGGGAAGCGACTTGCACGGCGGTTGCGAAGCAAGGAACATCAAAGGGGGGTCACTCTGGTTGACAAGGTCCAGAGAAGATGTGGGAGCAATCATTCAGCTCAAAAAGATTCTAAAAGATTGAACTTTGCCTCCGTTGGCCTTTGTATTGGGCACTTTGTGGACAAATCACGTGGTTTGGAAGCTGCCTTGTGCTTGCAGTGGTTCCCCCTGGCCAATGGGTGCTAATGATCTAACGGCGCATGGCGGAGCAAGCAATCTAAAATGACATGTGCACGTTGTTTCTTGCACCAGACTGGTGCATATACAATTGTCCCGCATCGCTTCCACATGTTCAGCACATGATATCCAAGGAGCGATTTAAAGAGAAATCCAATCTTCTAGACCCAAACTCCTAGCACAAGCCACGCCTGCCCCACTGGATGTGACTAAAGCAAGGACAACTCAGGTACCTTCAGCTACCTTTCGTGACCAGTGCAGTAGCATTCAGAAATTACTCACGTCGGCAACATCCTGATTGAACAAAGCAAACATATATATATATACATATATTCATGTGTAATTGCCAAAGTAATTTCATATAGTGCTGTTGGTGATGTGTAGATGTGTAGATCCGCCTGTCCACGGGTGCCGACTCATCAACTGGAAGGAACGGGGCACCGAATGCTTCTGGGACATTTTTGTGGGGCTGTCAAGAACACAGGCGCCAGGCTTTCTGGGGCAGACTTGGGAATGAGATTAAAGCCATGGAAAAATCTTGGTGGAACCAAATCTCTGGATGGACAATCATCTTGGTGAAACGCACCATGGCATGTCACACTCCAAGCTACGACACAGGTGAGGTCGGGACACCCCCGACCGCATGCTGGGTACCAGCACTGACTGGAAGGAACTTCTGGACCAATCCTTTAAGCGTCCGAATCGGCTTTTTCAAACCTACGGCTGGTGTTGCAAGCTTGAGAATTGGACGGGCCCCATGTGCGAAGGATGCCAAGGAGTGGAAGGAAAGACCCGCAAAGAAACCCACACGCAATGTGCGTGTAAGGGGCCATGACGGAAATCAACATGGAGCTGTGTGTGTTGCATGTTGCCGTCTTGTCAAGGCTGCCTGACCAACAGTGCAGCCACCGGTCGTGCTGGACAACACATGTGCCACGTTGTGCCAGCGGAGTGTTGCACGCCACGATGGCCATGGCCGTGTGCCTCCCTGCAGTACATGACCTGGCCTACATCCCTTGTTTTTCGGGTTTCATTGCTGGGCCGGCTAGGCCGCAGCCTGCATTGAAACACAACGTTTGTCAAACACATCACACTTTGACATTGGTTTGCAGTTAACTCAATTCCAACGTTGAGAAGGAAGGTGAAGGAACGGCATGGTGAAAGGTCCAAAGACTTGAAAGTGTTTTAACATTGAAGTGTTTCTCATCTGCAGTGGTGCGACAGCAGCGCGCGCGAGCGGCAAAGGAAAGGGTTTAGGGGAAGTAGCATGAACCACCATGGAAAAAGGAAAGATTGGACAGCTTAAGCAACAGTTCATGGAACAGGTACACAGTGGGGCGTCCCCCACTGCATCAGCACCTACTGGCATCCTCTTCGTTGGACGGGAAATGCCAGTGGTGTCCCGTCCCCCTGCTTATGAGATGGAAAACCGAGAAGCACTCTTCGGAACAGGGGTTGACACACACACACGGTGCCGCTTGGCGGCGCTCGCGTGGAAAGCCTGAATAGATACCTAAAAAGCCTTAGAAACAAAAGAAAGAAACACAGAAAGAGCAGCGCTAAGAGGGCAAGAGAGAACGATAGGTGTAGAAAAAAGAAAATGAATACTTAGCCCTTGACTGGGGTAGGGAAACGCGGAAAGCGCAAGAAAGAAAAGGGGGGCAGGGAGGGGGTGTATGTCCATGTGTGTGTACGTGTGTGTGTCTGAATACTTAGCACTCTAGGACTACTGACTACTTAGCCGAGACGAACTACAGTGCAATAGTTAGGGAGCGGGACTTTAGTCTTAAACCGCCCGGGTAGAGTAGACTAGAAAAGGGACAACAGAGGGAAAGGCACCGACACACAAGTGTGTCGAGTACCATTTCCCTGTGTTACCCTAATTAGGTAGGGAGTAGACCACGGTGGGGGGGGTAGGGAGACCTGCCTGAAGTGGGGTGAATTCCGTTTTTAAGCCCGGCGGCTGTCAAATCCGTTTTTAAGCCCGGCGGCTGTTTTAGGTTACAGAAGAGTCTGAAAGGGTCCATCGTTTATAGCCCGGCGGCTCGAAAGGCAGTAGATCCAGTGCTTGTAAAAGAATCCGTTAAGATAATCCAACAAAAGGTGGAACCGAAAAGCTGTTAAACGATTTCCGGAATGATGACAGCGCCTCCTTGCGGAGGATCACACCCAGCACCCAAGTGGGACGGCTGAGCGGCTCACACTTTGACATTGGTTTGCAGTTAACTCAATTCCCACTTTGAGAAGGAGGGTGAAGGAACGGCATGGTGAAAGGTCCAAAGACTTGAAGGTGTTTTAACATTGAAGTGTTTCTCATCTGCAGTGGTGCGACAGCAGCGCGCGCGAGCGGCAAAGGAAAGGGTTTAGGGGAAGTAGCATGAACCACCATGGAAAAAGGAAAGATTGGACAGCTTAAGCAACAGTTCATGGAACAGGTACACAGTGGGGCGTCCCCCACTGCATCAGCACCTACTGGCATCCTCTTCGTTGGACGGGAAATGCCAGTGGTGTCCCGTCCCCCTGCTTATGAGATGGAAAACCGAGAAGCACCCTTCGGAACAGGGGTTGACACACACACGGTGCCGCTTGACACGAGCAGCCAGATGTACCTGGTTCATGAAGCTTTGCCCAATCTGGATGCGATTTTTCCCCGCCGCATGGGGACCTCGCTTCGCCTCGTGGTCGGCCTGAGGCCCCTGACGGTGGAAGAACGCACACAAGTGCGCGCGGGGGCACCTGGCATGCTCACACGCGTCGGAGTGGCCCTCCAAAGACCATTTGGCCCTCAGAAGAAAAAGGCACAACAAAGGTCCTGGTAGAGTGGTCACATTGGTCACTCTACATGGTATGGGAGAGGCCAAGTTCACAACTTGTTGGCAAAGTTTGGGTGCATCTCAATGGGCAGCAATGCGTGGTCTACGTGATATCCACGTGATCCAGGTGCATGTCTATATTCCCAAATGCACAAGAATATGAAACCACCATCCTCATCTGAGGCAGAACATCTTCACCGAGCAACCGAGCAGTCTCAAGGCCTCTGAAGAAACAAGGAGGGAAACATTGGCGCCAACAAGCAGGGAAAGATCTTCAACCCCGAGCAACCGTGGAAACCCCTTTCGTCAACTCCCAGTCAATAGCTAACTCAGATTCTTTTCCCCGATGAAGGGATACCCGACAAGCAGGTTTCATCCGGCTTTGACCTTCCTACCCTCGTCCCACCCTGCCCAGCCAGTGATGCTCACCTGCGTCGTTGCAAGTCCCTGCAAACCAAGGTCCTGAAGTAGTTTGGGTGGTAGAGCTGCTCCTGCCAATCGCGCCCGGTCGTTTTGGCCAAACATCGTCCAGTATAGTAGCATCACACGGTCTTATGGAGGCCGTCGTTGCAAAGAAGAACTTGGGGATAGATTCACTATCCTAGGTTTGTGTCCGCCAAACCCCTTTATTCTAGAAGTTTATCATCTTGAAAAAAACAAAAAACAATCACAAAATGCAACCAGAAAAACAAAAGCAAACACATATAAAAAAAACACAACAAAAAACAATCACAAATTGCAGCCAGAAAAAAAGGCAATCATAAAAGCAATAAAAAGCAAACAACATGAATGAAATGTAGCAAGCTGAAGAAGGTTGAAGGAAGGTTTGAATTAGTGTATACGCGTCGCAAGCCGAAACATCATGTGAACCGCAAGCTCCATCACCTCACCGAGATCACAACAAACCGCGAACAGACGCCATCACTCCATACGCACGCCAGAAGAGCAAATACCAAGTACCAAAACAGGTACAAAACAGGCAGATTCCTACCAGGAACCAAAGGCACTGCATGCACAGCCCCCTCGACCTGTACTGTGCATGTCAACCTGGACGCAGGTGTCATAGGGGAGTTCAGCACCTTACAGTGACCCAGCCAGCAATGCTGCACTGGATCGCCCCCAGCAAAAATTGAACAACTCAGCCGGGCTTTCTGGCGCACTTTTTGGAAGGGTCCACGTTCTGGCGCGCTTTCTGGCGCGCTTTTGATGGAGGGTCCACTTTCTGGCGCACTTTTGGGGGAGGGTCCACTTTCTGGGCACTTTTGGTTGCTTTCTTGTTTCCATGTTCTTTTTCCAGCGCTGGGTAAAAAGTCGCACTTTTGGTCGCTTTTTTTCGCTCTTTTTTAATCGTTTTTCCGCAAAAGAAGCAAAAATAAAGCGAAAAAGAAGCGACCCAAAAGTGCGACTTTTTCGTCGGAGAAAAAGAAAGCGACCAAAAGTGCGACATTTGACCCGGCACCGGAAAAAAAGCAACCAAAAGTGCGACACTTGACCCAGCACCAGAAAAGACCCTTGTCCAGTACTAACCCTACCCGGCCCCTCCAAACTACCCTCTGTGTTTTGCTTGTGCTTTTTTGGTTGCATTATGTTGCATTTGTTTGTTTGTTTTTTGTTGCTTTCTTGGTTGCTCTTTGCTTTGCTTGTGTTTCTTTGGTTGCACTTGTGTTGTTTGTTTTTTTTGGCTCTCTTGGCTGCTCTTTGTTTTGCTGGTGCTTGTTTGGTTTGTGTTGTTTTTTCGCTTGTCTTCAAGTTTGTTGATTTCTAGAATAAAGCCACCTCTGGTGGACACAATCCTAGGTACTATATCGATCTATATCGGAAGCCTACCCTTCCTTCCATATGCAACAATCTCCCACAACGTGGCAGCTGGCAAAACAAATGCCCTATAAAATATAAACCAAGGTCCGCACGTAAACCAAAGCAGCTTCAACTCTGGAAAAAGGAAATCGTGTGTAGTATTGTAGTTACTCTATAGTTTATCAACCAAAAATGTCACACGGACTTCAAAAGTGCACCCTTGGCAACAAAATCTTTTCTTAATTAGGGGGGCCGTCTCAGACTGGTACTCCCCTGATTGACTTTAGTTACTTGAGTGGGACCTAACACTTGCAAGTGGCTAATCAATGCAAAACACATGAACATACCAAAAGGATCCAAAGGGTACCTTTCAGTGTGTAAATGACTTGGAGATATTGGCAACCTCACAGGTTCTGCAGGTAGAATATATCAGCGTATGCACACTCTCGTCAAAGTCTCTTTCTGCAACCCTCGCACCCGTAAAAGAAATCGCTCAAGCGTTGGCCTTGAGGGAATGCAAGCACGTCCCCAAAGAAAGTTCTGGCTTCTGCAAACATTGGGATGACAAAAATGGCTTGGGGCTTACAACCCAAACACAAGGCTTTACATGTCTTCGGGCCCCCTATCAATCTATGGTGCTGACCCAACAAAGGTCAAGGCAAATGATGTCAAATGCCACCCAGAAAGCCAACAAAAAGTTCACAAGTTGCATTGTGTTTCTCTCAGATCATGTAATGCTCTCTGTGGCGGTACACCTGCTCACAAACTCGATTTCACACCTCGGAGAAATCACAAACCGGATGGAGGGGGGTTCGAGCTTCCATGTTTGTGCCCGACCGTGCCCGACCGCTCCTGATCTCACCGAGAAACAATACCTAAAGCAACCCAAAGCTCGGACATCCGGCGTCAAAAAAGTGTCCAAACAATCCAAAGAAGATCCAGTGGCATTATGTGGCAATACCATTTGCCCCTCACCCACCCCATGCCGTATGCCGTGGGGCCCAGAAAGGGCAATGACGCCAAAATGATCGACTCAATTTCCAAATCGCTAGTAGTAAAAGCTTCTTGTTACTATAGCAATGGCCTCCAACCTAATACAGTAATTAGCCATGGCCTCCACCTAGTAGCTTCTTGTTGATGAAAGGTGAGCTGGGACTCAAAGCATGAGTCGTTCTCGGCCAAAAACTGCATGGTCATTCCTAGGTCCTAGACATGCATATTCTTAGACTGTTAACGTCTCGGACGCCCAGGCATGAGGGGAACCCAAGATAGTGTCTTGAACAACCCTTTCCTTCTGTCTCCCTTTCTCTCTTTGGTTCCTTTACTCCACTCCAAATCTGGAGACCCGAACCACCAATCCGCTCACTCCTTTCCTCCGTCCGTCTTCCGGATCGTTCCGGTCCTTGGCGCCATGAGCGAAGGGGCAACGTGGACCTCGGGGCGTCGAGGCGACGGAACACTCGACGGAACGGCGTTCGGATGGCCCGAAGGTGACTTGGATTTATGGGAAAAAGGTGATGAGCAAACTCATCCTGCCATTTCATGCCCTGAATCATGAGGCTCGTGAGCGCGTTTTTGAGGAGGATTCACTCATTGACTTATAGTTCAGGTTTACTTATACAATCAGTGGCAGGGTATGGTTTTTCAAGGAGTTCGTGCATGACGTGGATAAATTGACATGGGAATCTTCAACACCAAAGGCCGAAAATCTGAATCCTAGTCTCAAAGCAGTGGGTGCCTGTCCAAAGTCCGAATACGATAACCAAATGCACGACGCATGCCTCTTCAAATCTCTGTAAACTCGCAATGCCAGCAAACAGTCTTCCATGAAGGGCTCCCCTTAAACAAAAGAAAAGTGTAATTGTATGAATTATGAATATTAATATATATATATATATACGTATAAATATATATATATGTTTATGTGAGGATTTGGAGGGTCGTTTAATACGGGACCCCTCAGACGCCTCATAGTACGTTAAAGACGATCTTTGTGAGGCTTCTGTGCACGAAACAATGTGACCAAACCGGCTTTACAAGGCTACGCTACAGTATTAACATTGACACCGGGCATGTGTGGCAAAAAATATGCAACGCCAAAGTGCTTCTATGACTCAAGCACCACCTGCGATCCAAACCAGAACATATGAACAAATGTCCATCGAGTTGCCAAGTGGGCACCGCTGAGAATACGCCAGGCTCGTCTCCTGGCTGAGCGCGATGCGGCGGAGGCCTAAACAACTGACTCAACACTACTCAAACTACTCAACAGTCCCATCCATCATCTCTTAGACAAAAGGATTATGATTAACAATTCCTGAAGTTGTAAAAATAACGAGGGGGTGTGCTCAACAGCGGCACCAAACCGGTCTCAATCCGCAATGTCTTACTTGGAAATTTTAAGTGTCTCCATGCACCATGCTTTATGGGGTCCTTGTGCCTCATAGCTTATACAGCTCACAATGGAGTCCGCTACAAACTTTAGCCGTGTGGCTGGGATTTTAATTATTGCGGCATTGGATACATGATGACGTGACTAATTCCTCGGCAATGCGTCCGGCATTTACCATAACAACATACAAACCATCATAAAACAAAAGTGAATAGTAAGCGCGTAACGCGTATTGAAAACACGAGACGCTCTCTGCTTGGAGGCCACAATCCCAACTTTCCTTGTGATCCCAGACGAGGGGGCACTGACTCCTTTATCATATTTTCCTTACCACTCCACCTTGTAGGGACGGCTGCCTGCGGCAGCAAACCGGTTCCACTGGTTTCGTCCATGGCAATTGGATCTGCAGAGCCTTGTGATCTTCTTTATCAATTGGGATGGATGCCTCCCACAAGCAATACATGCTACCCGGACGGGCCGAATGGGACACCCTTTTTGCCACAAACAGGCAGAGCTGAGCTCGGTCACATCCAGGGTTGGACCCAACTGAATGTCGTTCGCTGATAGACATTGAGCAAACCCAACTGAACACATATGAGCAAACAGCCCCAAGTGAATGGGCCACATATGATTTAGCGTCTTAAATTGATGTCTCGCCGCGCTACCCAAAAGCCACGCATTAAAACATAATTCACTCACGATCAGCCCACCCAAAATTGAAACAAGCTGTGTTCTTTTTGCCAGACAATGCCAACAGAACTTTAGGATGAATATGTCAACATAAGCTCCTTCAACACCTCATGACGATCGAGATGTTGTGAAAATGACAATGAACAAAGCCTCTTGGCCGGCAGGTCCAACCCCCCCAACTCGGGGATGTTTAACCCTCCTCTCAAAAGTTTGGCACAAATTCCCAACGCTCGGAAAATCCCAAGACGATATGATATACTGTACTTGACATATCGGCGTCCATTTTACATCCAGTGTGGGCAGCATGGTGACGAGCTGTGATACCTTTTTAAAGCTAAACTCCAGGTCTAAAGTTGCTGCGTTTTGTGCCATTAGTGTTGCAGGATGTTGGGGTGCCGGAAATGGCCGTAGGATGTCGTAGGCCTAAACAAAATCAGAGATTGCTACGCCCAGGGCGGAGTTCGGTCTTCGCAAACTTCTCGATGGATTTGACCTCAGCTTGACCGATTGTGCATGTGGCATCTCTTGCTCCATGCTGCTCCAGAAACGAAAGTCAAACAAAACAAACTCCAGGTGACTTTATGTGAGAGTTTAATACCTCCCCCAACAATGGTGGCTTTCCTACAGGAGTCCCATCAAGCCAAAACCTACTTCGCTCTTGAATTACAATCCAGTGCAACCATCAACCCCCAAAACAAATAGAGTTTGATGATGTTTGATTGGTCACCCCACGGTTGGACTTTTTCAGGCAAAGCTTCTACACAGGTGTAGTCCGCATCCGCCCCGTGCTCCTTGGCAAATTCCTGCAGAATTCATAACATCAAAACAAGATCCAGCAGAACTCGCCCCTCCATGTGTGAAAACGCCTCACCTGCGCCTGTCTCTCTCTCTCTCCCCGTTTTTCCGCCCAAAAGCAAAACGCGGAGATCCGGTCCAATCCGGTTTTCCCATCTCCTGCACCATTTGGGTGGAACGACTCAGCAGCTGGGAGCTGGGCAAGGTCTCCAAGACTTCGGCGGCGATGCGGCAGTCTTTGGCCATCAAAGGCAGCTTGAAGCCATAGCCAAAACGTCGAGTCAAGACTTCCTGCAGGCAGCTGGAAAAGGTGTTCGTAAAGATCGTCAGACATCGTGAGATCCATTCGCTACTTGAGGCGACTAGCAGTGATGTTTACCTACTCCTGCTGCTACTGCTGCTACTGCAACAGCAACTACTACTTCTGCTCGCTAATGCTACATACTGCGGTAGGTGTCACACATCTTCAGGATACATTTCCGCTCCATGTCCTGTGGAAGCCGCTGCTCAGTTTGCAGGCTTCGCCCACTGGAGCCGTTGATGGCCTCCAAGGCCACTGAGGGATCGACACCCAGCTGCTGCAGGGCCAGTAGCCCTTCCGCACCCAGCATCAAATGCGTCACGTTGAGCGCATTGTTCACCTGATTGTCCCACATGCGCAACAAAACCACATCTGGTGCTCAGTCGCACCGTGGTCCGACCGTGATACATGCAACCGGTGCTCCACTTGCGAGAGGGAGTGACGGAGGAGAGGTAAGTGTCACAATGGAAGTGTGGGGAGATACATCTCACTAAGCGAAGCATGCACTCTCGCTGCCTGCTGTTCAGCTTCTGTAGACATATAATATATACCTGGGGCGCCTGTAGAAGAACAATTGCTATGCCTTTGACAAAAAGGCTTCTTTTAGAAGCATGAATGGAAATTCCTATCCTGAACGTGTTTATCCGTAATCCATTTTTCCCTTCCTCCCACACCAGTGTCCACAGCTGCAAAGGCTTTGGTGGATCTTTTTGGCCTTGCTCAAGGGCCTGTCAAATGGCCTATGTCAGCCTGGGGAAAGGCTGCTATAATCCATGGACACGAGGACACGTCAGAGATGTGATGAGATGTGTCTATATAGAATCATAACTGGCACTACAACTGGCATATATGGGCCAACCGAAGAGTCATGCCCCCTCAACCTTCACACCTTCTGAAGCTCTTTATGGCACAGCAATATTGAAGAAGAACCCTTTCTATTTTTCTATCATGTGTCAAGATGTCCAGCCATGGGGAAACCCATCGGACTGATCGCCGCCATCCAGACCTGTTTAAATCAGTGATGTTGTTTTAGTTCAAACTATATAGTCTTGGCAATCAGCCTGCTTGGCTTCCAAGAGGTGAGACTTGCAGACTCACAGCACTATAGGCTCATTCAACTGCAGTCCTGGACGTGGCAGTGCATTTTGGCCCAGACTGTTTGACGCCCGCTTGATTTAGTGACAAGCCTTCACAATATGGGGCCTAAAAAAACGGCTGCTAAGTCCAAGGCAGCTAGTTCTGGTGAAGGAGGCAGCCGAACTGCCTCACCATCTTCTTCCCCCAGGAGTGTGGTGGGAACCTACGAGTTGACGGGCTTGCATACCACGTGGGACAACAATCCGACTATACGGGAAAGGGCCCGTTCAAACCAGAACCTCATGCTCGCTGTAAACCCTGCCACTGGTGAAACGGGATGCTGGCATGTGGATGGAACGAAGGACACAGTGGTCTTGAACGAATGTGTCTTGCTTCCCCTTGCAGAGCTAATGGGGAAGCATGAGCTCAAGTTGCCCTCGATTGACAATTTGATCGAATCTGTGAACCAGTTCTTCAAAGTCACCAAGATGGCTAGAAACCTCGAACACTGCTACCAAGAAGCTTGGGCCATCAGACGCTGTTTGGGGAAATTGAAGAGCTTCGCTTACAAGGAACACCCGCCGCAGGACCTCTTGTTTTGAATGTTTATGCATGTTTTTTTGAAGCCTGTCGATCCGGTGTTCTGGCACTGTCTGGCCACATCCCCCAGCCTCCCTCCATCAGTCCTTGATCCCATCCAGGATCTTGTGATCACGCGCCTCCTGTACGCGATGGGATTCGATTTGAAGGCTGGTGCCACGGTCGTTCACAAACCACTGGTCAACATGTTACGAAAGCCAGCCTTCGTAGAAGGCGCTAGCGGAGTTGTGTCTGGCGAACGAAGTGAGTAGTTAGGGGGTTTGGGGGGGGTGGCCCGGGAAAGGTACACGTAAACTCGGCACATGCTGGGGGAGGAGGGTGCTTCGAGGGAAGGTTTTTTGAGGTTGTGTTGGAGGTGATTTTTGAGGGGTGGTGATGCAAGAAATGCCAAATGCATCATTTGCATCATTTGCGGCATGGTGATCGCATGGCAAGGGGTTTGTGGGGCTCGAAACGCTACTGTTTCGAGCCCCACAAATCGGGGAACTTGATTGATCTGTTCTAAAACGCCGATCATTGGATAATCTCTACTGCATGGTTCTGTACCCGTCGGCCCTCCTTCTCCAGACTTGTATTCATAGCACACGAAGTGTACTTGGGTGGACGCAGGCGGCCTGGTGCTCGCATGGCAAGGGGTTTGTGGGGCTCGAAACGCAGGGGTTTCGAGCCCCACAAATTGAGGAACTTGGTTGTAGCGGTTTTTGTCCATGGCGATACTAGGCCTTGCAGCAATGCCTCTTCTCTGCTTGCTTCGACGCGCAGTTGTCGAAAAGGGGAAGCGCTGGCTTTCGTTTTGCAGCTTCTCAGGTCTCAACTCTTTTTTTATAATTTTTGGCACTTTCTTTTGGATCTTGGCCAAGGATTGCCATGTATATAGGCTCCAAACACATGTGGGGAACACATTTGTTTCTTGGGTGATCTGTGGGATTTTCCTCACTGGGGTTTCCTTTGGGCAAGAGATTGCATTATATGCGCAATGTTTGAAAATTATTTATAAATGATGTGTTTGTTTTTTTGTTCTGGCATGGTTGCTTACGGGCTCGGAGTTTCAAACTTACATGTATATCTCAACCTGTCGGCAGCATCATTCGCGTGTTGGGAGGCCTGGGCTCCAATTAGCGCTCCTCAGACTCATCCTGCTGAAGCCACTCTGGTTGACCCAGATGCACATCGAACTCCGGAGCCGCCCATCTTGAGCCAAGTCATGCAGTTTCCAGATTCACAGGAGCCTTTCGATCCTGTTGGAGAGATTGAAAGGATTATAGACACGGAGAAGTTTTCAGGCCCACCTCCACAACCGGCAAGTCCAGTTGGGTTGTCTTCGACCAAGCCTCCGTCTCCCCTTGCCCTTCCAAACCCCAGCCCGGAAGGGAAGGGAGTGGGCGAGAAAGGCACATCGACTGATGATGCCTCCACGAATGGGCTTGAGAGAAAGGAGACTGAGAAGTGCGCTGTTGTAGACAAAAGCCTGGCAGCTGCTGAGAACGATGCTGAGAGTGGACCTCCGCAACAAGCAGCGACACCTGCTCTCCATTCGCAGCATGAAGAGCCGGGGCACTTGCATCGTGGCAAATCCACAAAGGACTGAAGCCCCATGATACATGCAATATTGAGGCCAAAACTTGTGTTTAATTTGTCTTCCCATGTTTGCGGTACAATGGGGTGATCTTCACATTGGAGGATCTGGTCGAGATTTCTGATGAGGAAGGTGAAACTCCACGTCGTACCCTTTTCACGGAACAGGACCTTCAATCAATTGCTGGAGATCTGGTTGAGGCATTGGGCGCCTTGAGCTTGAACCTCGCATGTTGTTCAGTCTATATAGATTTTCTTTGAACTGTGGTGGTGGTGGGGTCATAATCCTTTCATGGAAACATGATCACATCCCTGTGACCCAGTGAGGTCTGAGCTGGACTCAGAGCGCGCGCGCAAAGAGAATCCAGCAGGAACTCACCTACCACCATTAGGTTTCTTGGCAGCGTCCCTTTCCCCGAATTTGTAACGTATTTTTCTGGTGCCAGCTCTGGATTCGACACATATTGTGTTGTGCTTGCTCACGTGCGGAGGTGATGAGCCAACGCATGTCCTTTCGGATTCTGTCATGCCGGCGGCCTTTGATACGGACTGCACTCAATTGCCCTGCGATGCATCCATTCTCCTGAACACCGATGTAGCGCATGAGACTTTGAAGGACTTGGCGGCTCATGAAGCCAAGCTCTCTGTAAAGGCGCGGGTGTTTAAATCTCGATCCGCGCTACACAGTTGCACAAGCACATGCACACATGATATGTTGCAACCTCCCTGTGGCAGGCCCAGACGTCGAATTTGGATGAGCCAGAGATTCCAGAGCATGAGGTGATCACAAGAAGGAAACAGTTCCGCATGAAGTCCAGCAAGAAGGAAAATCGTGCTGCAAAGCGGAGCGCGGCCAAGGGCAAGAAGAGAGGATCGGAGACGGCCAAGACAGCCATCAATGACCGGCCGAGTGAAGATAGTCACCTCGAAGAGGGCAAGAAGAAGCCCCGCAAACAAAAGAAGAAGACCGCCGTTTGTGATGATGATGCGGCGCCAGTGCCAGCCAGAAAGAAGCGAACTCCCAAGCGTGCTCGCGGAGGCCGTTTGGCAAAGCTACGCCGCATCTCCAAGAGCAAGTCAAGCTTGGACTTGGATGAGGCAGATGAGCCGCATGCAAACGAGCAGCCGGAATACTCAGAGAAGATCTCATATTCGGTGGAGGCGCCAACTTTGGAGCAGCCATCTTCAAAGGAGAAGCGCACTCGGAAGAGGAAGCAGGCGCAGGCTGCTGGTAAGACACAAAAGTCACAGGGCCAGAAGGCCAAGGTCAAGACTGGTGCATCCTTTGATGAAGCACTTTCTGCCAAGACAAGCAAGGGCCAGTCTGCAAAAGACAAAGCAAATGCCAAGGCGAAGGCCAAGGCGAAGGCCAAGAAGGCTTCGACAGAGGATTCGAAGCCAAAAAAGTCAAAGGCCAATAGACCTGCTGCAAAGGCAAAGGGGACAAAAAAATCGAAGAAGGATGTGGAGCCCAATGAGGAATATGTCAGCCTTGTGACCCACATTCTCAAGGAATGTCACGAGACAGACTGTTCGCATCCAACCTTTGAGATGCGTGAGATCGAATCGAACGACTTGGACCTCTCCATCTACTGGTCGCGCCAACATGCGGGGGTGAAGGTCAACAAGCAGTTCTTGCCCAAGCGCACGATCAAGGGCAAGAAGTGCCAGGTTGCCTACTTTGGATGCAAGACTCACTGCCCCTACACCAACATCGCACTGGCCGATGTCTTTGTGACTTTCTTCAGTCCTGGCATTTTTTTGCACTATATGGAAAGCTAGAGGATTTTCGAGAAACTACATACAATATATATATATATTGTATTCTGTATATGTTTTCTGACATCCTGCCGCTCGTCAGCCCAGGTGAAAGCGCTTCAAAAACAAGATCGCATCGACCCCACTGCCAAAGACATTGTCCTCTTGGAGCAGGTTCTGAAAACCTCGCACGATGTGGCATTTAAGCAGCTCACTGAGAGCCAATAGGTTCATGGGCCCACGGGTCAATTTGTCAGGGGTTTTGGTGCTGGGGGTCTGTCCTGCTTCGTGCTTTATCTCAATCTCAACTGTGTTGGTTCCAAATTCCGAGGGCATGGCAGGCCC